TTCTCTGTGCTCATTAAAAATCTGATTGTAAGGGGCGGGGCCTACCAGTATAATTTGTGACATCACAAATAGTTTGGTTCGTTTGTACAGTGTGATGTACAAACTTGGAGCCACCAGGGCTCATCCATTGAGAATGGACTTTACAGTGAAGTAGGAGACATCTTGTGTCGAGCAGGAAACTTTAGAAATGAACAACATCTGCATATTCAGAGATTCTGGAAGTTTTAATGATGACTTTATAAGGATTTTAATATGGATTATTGTACTTTATTTTGCAGAAAAAACATGACACAAGATGTCACAAATATAATCTGGACAAGATTATTATTATTATTAGGTCAACCTTTCTTGTAGTACTTGAACATTGAAGTGGACCTCTTATGAGATGACAATACCAGCAGTGGTCCCAAGACAATTGACTTAGAGACCCCCAGTTTGACCTCTGTTTTCTCAAATATACAGCTGGATTTGTTACCATGTGTGCTGAAGTGCATTACTGAAGGGCCAGCAATTACTTATCCTGCCATTCATAGTTAAACAGGGGTGCATTCAAAGTCATGTTTACCTATGGAGCAGAAAATTACCAGTGTATAACCTCATGGAGCAAAAGAGCAAAACACACTTTTTTATTTACATGACATGGACATGCCCACAGTACAACAACATTTAGACAACATTTCCAGCCCCACCTACTCTCTGTGTGTGGCAGGCAGCTGATGTGTTTTTCCCCTAAAAGCTTCTCTAATGGAAATAGGCCTCTGTCAGCCATAGGTTACTACAGCAAACAGTTATGTTAAAAATGGCTCTCGGAGAAGTTGTTTTTCCAGTTCACTTTTTGTTCTTCATTTATGTTGTTCCTATATTAATGTATACAATATTTAAAACAGCTTATACAACAACTTATTCAATTGTAATGGCTTCCCTGATTAAAGGGTAGCTTATGTTTGGTTTCATTAGTGATTAAGCAAAAATAAAGATTTAGAAATTGTGGCTTATTTCTCTCAGAGCTGTGCATATAAATCAGGTATGACAGTTATCTTACCCCTATTTTCTCTGTGTTCTGTTTTTTGTTTGTTTGTTAAATAAGATAAGATAAGATAAGATAGTAACACAGACTTTATTGATCCTGCATTGGGGAAATGTACTCACTACAGCAGCTCCAGATACAACACACAACAATAGATAAGAAAATACATATTAAATGAAAAATAGAATAGAAAAATACAAGATATAATAAAGATAGGGAAAAAAAGAGTTATATGCACTATATACAGCAGTTATATACAGATGTGACTGATAAGGAACATTGCACAGGGCACAGCAGGAGGTTGTGGCATGGTGTAAAAATAAATAATTGCACAGGACAGAAACATATATACAGCAGTATAGTTAAGAGGAAATATAAACATATATAGCATGGGGCTATAAATATACAATACAGGTCTAATAAAAGTGTGAGGTGTAAGAAACTATATATATTTAAATATGTATGTAAAACTGCACATTGCAGGTGTTAAATAGTGCCAAGGGAATTGAGGGAAATAGATAAAGAAATAACAAGAATAGAAAGATAAGATAATAGAAAGAAAAAAAAATCAGGTATGGTAGGAGATGATAGGCTACGTGTGCGCATCACCTCAGCAGGTGTACTGAATAATCGCATGTGATTGGCTCCTTCCGCATCCGCCTGCCAGCCAATCCGGCCGCGCTCTACTGACGTCAGTTTTGCGTCGAGCCCTAGTTGAAACTCAATTCAAACTTTTGCTCAGATTTGTTTCCACGATGAAAACCAACACGGAGCGCCCGTGAGCGGCTTTAACAGACGTTGAATTTCACATGCCGCTGTCAGTTTACTTAAGCTAGCAGTGCCATTCCTCCTGGAGCCGTTTCACCCACTTTCTGCCCCGAGGGAGACCGTTGGGAGCCGGAGCGGACGGTGACGCGGTGTGAATGTCCAGCGCGGACGACGGACTGACGGACGGACGTTCCACCATGTCAGGTTTAACACTACAGGTAAATATAACGCCGCAGGTTGTCTTATTAAAGTGGAGTTAAATTGTCGTGGAGATATGAGGTGCCAACATTAACTTTACGCCAAATAATATTACCCGACGTTTAGTTTGGTTAAATAGTGCTAGTTGCCGTTTTGGCAGGCGCACTGGATTTTCCTGTTTGTCTTGTTTGTTTCTCCTCATAGTTCCTCTGTTTTTGCCGATAACGCTAACGTTACGTCTTCCTGTACCTTAACTATTGAAACCACTCAATTTCATTAAGAAAATATAGTAAAGAGTTAAACTACCTTTTCCACATGGCTTTAACTTTCTTCCGGAGTCGGCAGAGTGAGTTTCTTATTCGAGCAAACACCCAGTCTCTACCTTTTTAAAGGCTTTATTTTAATAAAGGTTAGCTTACTTAGCTACTGTTTTTAGCAGCCCTCTCTCCTGGTGAAAGAAGTGCCTTTTGAGTTTAATTAAATTGAGTTTCAGCCTATATCTTACTATCCATCTGAACAACATTAAACATATTTTAAAAAGTAACTTGCTATTTTTGCATTGTTACAAAGCAATATAATAAAAGTATAACTTCCCATAGGTCTAGCCTAATTAAATGCAATCACTTTCGAGCGATGTGCATCCATTGGTCACTATGATATAAGGTTCATTGTCTTTTAAAAGGATCCAGACATTACAGCACTTCCCAGGACAGAAAAAGGTGTAGTTGTTTCGACTGGCAGGAGGTGTGTCCCAATGGTAATACAGTAGATAAAAGCTATAGAAAATAAATAGATACCAGTAATACCTGATACAAAAGGCCTCAGCAGCTGTTGAAGTAGGCTCTGGCCCAGTAGCAGAGGAGTATTGATGTAGTGTAGGTTCATAGTTTGTTTAGGCATCTGGACTGTGTATCCAGTGGTGGAGTGGAATGATTAATGTTGGGTAAATGGCTTTAAGGCTAAAGCATGACCTTAAAGTTTACCTGAACAAATTCAATAATATTGTCATGAATTAAACATCATGAATAAACATTTGTTTATTGTTGTAATGTAAATTTGGATCTGTTGTTGCTCACTATGATATAGCCTGTCTTATGAATATCATTGAGGGTTATTATTTGGTATCTTATCGCAATAATATATTGAATCGTAACCCCTGTATTGTTAAATCATATGGCCAGGTCCTTGCTATTACACAGCCCTAACCACTTTTTTTAAGACCAAACACAAGTTCAAGTATTTACATTTTGGTACTTGCCAATACCGAGCACCGATCTGAGTGCCCAATAATGCCATACAGTTCTAACAACGACTTGGAAACATGTTTTATTATCATCGGATGTTCTTCACTCAGACTGTAACAAATGAAATGATGCTAACATTGTTGTAAAAGCTGTTTAAAATATCTCCAAGCTGCTGACATTGCCTCTCCTCCGCCTACCTGCTCAATTAACGAGAAGTTACGTAACGTCACAATGCCTTAAAGTGGTATCGAGTGCAGTATCAGAGTAGTTTTAATGAGTACTAGTACTAGTACATCCCTACTTGTTAATTTGTCTGACAAACAGTCCAAAGCTTTAAGATATTATAGAAGAAAAGTTTCTTTTTTTCCTTTTGCTTGAAGCATCACTTTAACAATTAATCGACTATCAATTGCTGATAAATTTTCTTTCTATAGAGAAATCAAGTAATTGTTCTCCAAACTAATTAAAAAACAAAGCATTTATAAGTTATGGAATAACATTTAAGGCCTTATAAAGAACTGGTGGATGGTGAATGTGAGTAGGTGATATAGTAAGATGAATGGAATGAAAAGTAAGTGGCAATATACATTTATATCTTATATATTTGTATTCATGTTTGAAGTTAGCTGGACATCCACCTACTGATACTGTACAGTGATACTCAACTTGTGACCTGCAGGCCAAATGCAAATTAGGGTGAATGTTTTCTTACATCTGGAGAACAACATTTGTAGACCAGAGCATGTGTACAGCGCTACAGTACTTCATTATAATACTGTTGGTCACACATTTTACCTTTAACAAAAAACTTCTGTGATTTGAAGATTGCCCTTTGCCATATTTACTTTCCATTCAGCTCAATGGCCAAAGTAACTCTGTTTTGAGTGTGCAAATGTACTTTGAATATGTTAAGTAACATACAGGATAGGTGAACTGGACAAAACTGCCTGTCAGTGTGACTATGGGTGTCTGTCTCTGAGTCAGCACTGCGATAGACTGGACATATCCAGTAGGGCTGCAACTAACAATTATTTTCAATAACGATTAATCTCAAAGTCAATCATCTCAATTAATTGATTATATGTTTTTGATTAACTGTGAAAGATGTTGATCAGTATTTCCCAAAGCCCAAGATGACGTCCTCAAATGTCTTGTTTTGTCCACAACCCAAGACATTCCGTTAACTGTCGTAGAGGACAAAAGAAAGCTGAACATATTCACATTGGAGAAGCTGAAAGCAGAGAATTAGCATTTAGCAAATTATCAGTGAGTTACTACAGACTGTGGGGCAAAAGATGATTAATGATATAAAGAATGGATCTTGACCAATTTGTTGATTATATAATCTTCAAAATTTTTGGTGATTTATTAATCATTTCAGTTGTTTAATTAAGCAAAAATGACAAATAATATAAATGGGAAGGTTTCTTGCTTTGGTGTATTTTACATGACTTTATATTAAATATATTTGGACAGTCGGTTGAACAGAACATTTGAAGATGTCTCTGGACTGGAATCTATTATGGGATTAAATGATTAATCAGAAAACAGAACAATTGATAGAATCACAAATAATGGAAATAATCATTAGTTTCGGCCCCTATCTTGACAGAACACACTGAGAGGAGGCTGAAACTCACCCTCTATATATGCATTACATTAATGCACTCCCGTTTTCTGTACAGTTTTCTTATCTTTATTTATTTATATTTTAAAAGTACTCTGTGTTTTGTGTGTGATTGTTGTGTGATTTGTATATTTTTGTATGATTGTATATTTTATGCACCACTGCACCAAGACAAATTCCTTGTATGTGTAAAAACCTACCTGGTAATAAATCTGATTCTGATTCTGATTCTGTAGCCACTGTATAAATCTAAATATGTGTATCCACAAGGGGGAGGCATTGTGCCGTTTATAGTTATTGATCCATTCTTGGTGACTGTCACAGCTTGGTTCAACTGAATTACTTTACTTCCTTAGCAGTGGTTCCCATATTTTTATTCTTAATTTGTGTACAGCAGTTTATATTACAAACATACATCAGGTCAAAAACTTTATACAGTTTGGAAGAGGTAAACACAAGAGCAATGACATTTCTTCATCCTCCCATACCAAGCACGAAGAAGAAACTACAGTCGATGTGAAAAACAGGAATGGCCCTATCTAGTGCTGGTGTTGGGTTTGTCCGTTCTGGGCTACTGTACTGTACTGTACTGTACTGTACTGTACATGGTAACATGGTGACCCATAGCATCTGTAGATAAAAAGGTCTCATTCTAAGGTAACAAAAACACAACAATTCTTATTTTCATGTGATTATTGAATGATTTATGAAAACATTCCTATGAATATTATATTCCATTTACGGCAATAGATCCTCCTAAATGTTACACATTGGACCTTTAATTTAACATTCTTTTGAATCCATGGAGTGTTTCTTTTATTGCAAATTACATACGTATTCATGATTCTTGTATTCTTGTTGTCCAGTGTGTAACAAAAAGGATCTATTGGCAGAAATATAATATTCATAGGTTTTGTTACCATAGAATGAACTGTTTAATATACAGATGCCGCACAGACTGTGCTATGTTGAGCTGCCATTTTTCTACAGTATCCCAAAAGCCCAGATCAAGAATAACTCTGCCTTGGGCAATTATAATATATTGATATAATATTTGTAACGGGATACATAAAGACAAATAACCAGAGCGATGAGAGATTGAAGCAGTTATGGTGTGTCCTTCAGAACGGTGACCTTCAGGGTCTGGATGAGGGGGATATTCTGGACCCAGAGTTCCAGCAGCGTTTGGAGGATGCCCGTACTACGCTCAGGCAGGAGATCCAGCGGGAGCTGAAGATCAAGGAGGCAGCCGAGAGACTACGGCGGGCTGTCACCAACCGCAAGAGTGCGGCCGACGTAGAGGGTCAGCTCAAGGCCTCGAACCGCAAGCTGGAGAAGTTGCACTGGCAACTGCATGAGCTCAATGCCAGGTCTATGGCCACAGAGAAAGACAGCACCACAGGTAACTAAAACAGATCATCTGCTGGAGTGTATTTTTATAAAATAGCAAATCTTGAAATTATCATTCATCCAACATAGAAACACACATAAATACTTTAAAAGAAGTCAAATGTTAGTCCAATAATTGTAAGAAGGAAAGAAAAAATCTGTATATAGACATCCATGGTTCCAAGAGGATTAAAGCTGCAGTAGGTAGTTTTTATAAAATAACAAATATATATATATATATAATATAATATAACAAAACGTTATTTTGTTATATTTACTGAAACTTTTACTATATACCGAAAGAAGTAAAGGAGACATATAATCAGTGAAAAAATCAGGTTCCTCTGGCTCGTTCTAGTGATCCTAATGGCATTTGCAAGAATCCACCGGGCCGGGATGAAAAGAACCAATCAGAGCTCAGAAAGATATAAAGAACCTTTGAATTGGAGGCTTGAAGGTAGTTGATGTTGAGTCTCATTCCCAGGGTCCTAAAGCATTTTAAAAACAAATGGGCAGTTTTTCCTGATATTTCCAGTGGATATTTAAGTTCTCGTAAGATTCAACCCTTGCTTTTTGATAACCGCTGAACTCTGAACTGAAAATTGTATTCCAAGGCACTGCTATTCAAAGGTGCAATATATGGCGGCGCCAGTTCTACCAGATGAGCTACCAGG